GATCTTTTTGCTTCTATCTAGCACGGGGCCTCCATCTGCGTTTCCCCCATCAGAGCTAATTACCCACCCCTCCAAGCGTGTACCCATGGGCTCTCTTCACTCCAGTCCTTGTCCGGGCAGGCCATGTGTAAACCCGCATCGGCAAGATCGTGATGCTGTACCGTCTCGCCTAACATCCCTATCCAGCGCTCTTGTCTCGTCCTTGTGATCAGTTTACGCGAGTCGCCAGGCTGTCGTGGTTTTCATTACCTTGTTTTCTTAGCTTGACCTGGCCTGTTACCAACCGAACCGTTACACCATTTCTGGCCGTCGCCTTTCTCCTTCTGCCACGATCCCATCTTGGACCAGCTCGACGAGCGCGCCAACTTCCGCGACAAGAAGCTGTAGGCCATCATCGATGCCGCCGCCGCCTCCGACCCGCCGCGGCCCCTGCTGGGGCTCCGCGCTCCGCTGAGGCGGACGCAGAGAGAGCGGTGGAATCAGGAGAGGGGCCCGTTGGAGGACCGGTGGTAAGAGTGGGCACAGGCCGACTACACCGACTACATCGACCAGGTCGAGCCTTGGTGCCTGCCTAGGGACGCCCCGGTTGGTGATCGGGGGCGGCGCCGGGTGCCTAGTTGGTGGGGGGAGAAGGAAGGGGGGGTTGAGGATAGGGAGGAGGCCAAGGAGGGGAGGAAAAAGGGGGGGACGATCCCTGGCGGGAGGGGGAAACCATCTACTCGGGAGCAGGGTATGTCGGACGAGCAGCTGGATGCGTATCTGCGCATGTACGACGAGCTGGTGTTCGATGCGGACGGGTCAGGACCTGGAGAACCCTAGCGACCAGGATGACGAGCCCCAGAGAGGGCCGAAGAAGAGCTAGGGACTGGAGCCGAAAACAGGGACCGGTCCCGGTTCTCTAGGTAAGCCCGGCACAAGAAGCTACTGTGAGAAAAGGTGCGACGGGTTCGGACTGGAAGCATGCCTCTTACATGCCTCTTAACTAAAGGGTAGGTAATACCACCAAATCTGTGTACTATTTTCCCTCTTGTACTATACTGTTTTATCTCGTCTTCCTGGATACCCCCGTCGACGAACGCCAGAGCTTCCCATCACCCCCAACCTGGCCGTGAATTTCCCTACTCCCACCCCTTTATCGGCCGCCGTAACCCGTGGGTCCAAGTACCAAAACCACCCGTCGAGGCCGCACTTGAAATACCACCCCATCATATCCAACCCTCCCTATCCCCATCCTCCCGGTCCGGCGATAGAAACGCGTCGATCTCAGAGAGTTTCTCCTCGGCCGTCAGCCGTCGCCGGGGCTGATGTGGACGATAACTTGACGAGAAGTCCGTGCCCGAGTCAGTGAGTGTTGAGCGCGTTGCGACCGAGCTAGTCGACGTTCCCAGCGTCCGCCTACTGTGGGTGCTTGTCGCGCTGCTGTTGGTCATGGTGGCACTGTGGGTGGAGACGGAGGTAAGGGTGGAAGCGGATTTCTCGGGCAAATGCGGCGGGTGGCGGTATCTGCTGTGGTTCGTGCGGCTCCGTTGACGGCCGCCTGTTGGAGTTGGAATTGGTACCGGCAGAGGGGGCACTGGCGGTGGTGAGCACGACCCCAACGAGGACGGGGTGCGCCACACCGGTGGCCGGGTCCAGGGGCCGCTGCCGCTGCCACTGCCGCTGCCGCTGGGGTAACGCGAATGGCTGGACTGTGTTATCGGTGGGGTGGGCAGCGGCCGGGCGGGCGCGGGCAAGTTGGGCGACTCTGTCTCAGTGTGCGCGTCGGGTGAGAGGTCTACAATGTCTGGGCATCCTAGCGCGGACCTGCTTAGCCTGACGGAGTATGTCGGCCGCAGCTCGTCCCAGTAAAGGCAGTCGCTTGCCGGGTCAAGGAAGGGTTCCAGGGGAGGCGCCACTGGGTATTGCTTCCATTGTGAGGAAATGGTTGTGTGAGACCGTCCTCGAGAGGCCACCGGTATGGGCGGCGGCAGTCGAGTGGGCGGAAGTGGAAGTGGGTGTTCTATGTCGGTGTTTGCGGGGCACGAAATGGATAACTGAGTGGCAGGGTCCCACGGCGTCGGAGTATCGTCGTCGATGCCCAATTGCTCTGTCAGCGTCGGTTTCTCTCTGTATATCTCCCCCTCGTCTACCCATAACTGGGTCCGCACGTCGTTCCAAAAGCATCGGACTTCTGGTGAGCAGCGCCTCTCTAGCTTGAATATCTCAGGCTCGGATACGTCTTCCCAGATACGCAAGTCGCCCATCTGGTTGTCGAGCTGTTGGAGAGGCAAAGGCGTATTCCTTTGGTTTGGCAAAATATCTCTGTCCTTTTTCCTCTCCCGATCATTTCTGTCGCCCAGAGTCTCCCCGTTCTCCTTAGCCCGTTCCCTGTCTCCTTCTTTTTTACTCTTGACCTGCTGATCCTTAACTTTCGGGTCCTTGTCAGCAAGGTCATCCAAACAGCGCGCCAATGGTCTGTTGTTGAAGTAGGATTTGTGCCTGAGCAAGGTCAAGGAGTAGTCCTCGACTTGGTAGTTGACCCGGGACGAGGGGAACATCGAAAATGTGGTGCCGAGCGATTGAACTTCTTGGTGCTGCAAGTTTTTCGAATTCTTGGTGGGGATATTGACGTTCTTGTCGTCCTTGTTGCTCATGCGGGTGCCTCCCCGGCCTTTCTTTCCATCCTTAACCTCAACTCTGTCGCTTGCGCCCGATGCCAACCCCAACTTGTTGAACCCGGGGCTCTCGAGAGTGCCTGCCGACTTCTCAAAGAGGCTGACAATGGAACGGACCGATCGATCAGATGTTTTTCTTCCAGAGAGTGGTCCTCTTTTGGCGAGATTTGATGAGAAACCTTCCGGAAGTGCAAGCCTCTCGATCTTCCTGTCGAGAATGCGATCCGAACCTAGAGGTGATCCGCTTTCTCGGCGGCCATTATGAGGCGGGTCGCTCTTTTCCATGTTGGTGATTTAATTGCGGAGTTGTTTGAGTGCAGAATTGTTCGTGAGTGTGATCATTAAAGGAAGGAGCAGGTCGCTGGCGGGCAGCTCTTGCGCTCTTGCCCTCCACCTTGTTAGTTGTGTCTGATCACATCGACGAGAAAGAGCGACCAAGAATAACCCTACCAATAATAGCCCTACCGCTAAACTCGGATTAACATCAGAAGAAGTTTTTCCTCCACTCCTCCCTCTTCCTATTTGGGCTATCTCAAAATTTGACTTCATTAAGCCCCTCATCCAATGTCAACATCACCACAGTAAACAATATATTTCGCACCTTCCAGCACACTACACTTCCTGATATATGTATCCGAGCTTTTACTGAAGTTATCCTAGGACTTTTCTTTATTGCCATTAGTTTGATCAATCTCGAATATTTAACAGTTGAAGCATGAGGTGGTTTCCTGCGCTGAGGGACTCGAGCTCGCTCACGAGGAAAAGATATCGCAATAAACGGACTTGCGGCCGCAATGTGGTTGTAATGGTGACAGTTACTTGTTTCCCCGAGATGTTTACGTAGGGCTAACTCACACTCCGATAATACTCTGGTAGGTAGTCTTGAAACACGGCCAACTCTGTCGAAGAGGGACTAGGAACAGAACTGCACATATGACCACGATTATATCGGGTGATAACCACAGCTACCGAGATATAAAACAAAGAGAGAACTGCAAAAGCGTCCAACAACACCAAAGATAACTTGGACTCTTGCTGTTCTAAATATCGAAACTGATGAAGGTCACATACTCCATCCGCTTACTGAGTGCCTGCATCTTTTCCAGCATGGCTGGACCACAAACATCCGATACCTTCACTTCACAAAGCTTAATGTTCCTTTCATCAAGCGGTCTTTAACTGTCCAGTCCGAAACTTCAAGTCTTCCTACAACCTTGCCCAGGGTCAAGCGGGAAATGAAGGGGGTGGGGCAACCCCTATTGTTTGTTTACCTACAGCCGGACCTCCCTGTCTTCCCTTCGATACCAATAGTTAGATCGCCATGAATCATCCTTCAGATATTGCCAACCAAGCCCAAAGGACTCTCGTCCCGATGAAGGGCTCCATCTCTGTGGGCACTTTCTGTGCGGGTGTTCAGTTTTCTTCGCGGAAACCTCCTTCGACCCGGAACCAGAACTCGGATTCAGCCGCAGCTCCTATGACGGCGCAACAGCCTCCAACAAAGCATCTCAGCTTCGCCAGGCCAGCAGCAATCTCCCAAAATAAGGTGAAGCTACCTAAACCAATAACGCTTCAGCTCGCCATGGGTCTGAAGACCGTCATGCCGTCAACTTTTCGAGTCAACGACCGAACGTCTTGCCCTTGTCAAGTTCTCGCGAACCGTCCTGGCTTGGGTTTTGGTTGAGTCTGATGGTGATAAGCCGCATTGGGTGTGCCTGCAGCGGTGACGATGGCTGGGGTGCCAATAACATGACGATTTTTCAGCCACTCGTAGGTCGGGGGAACAACCAGCCGTCCGGCTCTCAGGTCCCCCTCCGTCGAGTCAGCCCAACAACAATACTGAAGGGATCGGCATGGAAACGGAACTCCACCGCCAGACAAACCCCCGCCAGCTCGTCGGGGGGTCCGGTGTGAGGGTGTGTCGCCCGTCTCGAACGCCGTCGACAAACCCTGGTGGCAAAAAGAACGCGATGGCTGATGAAGTAGTGAAGCAGACAGGGGTAGGCGAGAGAAGCACTAAGCCGAAAGCCACGCCGCGTTTCCTTATCGGGTCGCCGCGTTCCCGCGTGTGGAGTGCAGCCGCTCGTCTTGACCCCCTGCAGCCTCAGCCACAATAACGACACACCTTGGGCTCGGCCGGGGGGGCTCGCGGCCGCCTGGTTCTGCTTCCTCCCTTGACATTCCCGCATTTGGCCTGGCTTTCGCGATCCAAGTCTCACGCAACGGGGTGGAACTGACGGAGACTGAGACTGGTGCGCGCCCCGGTGCATGCCTGCCGTCTGGTGCCGGATGGGTTCTAGCTCATATGACAAGACCTTCGAGACTCTCTGATCGCCGCTTTAGTGTAACGCAAAGAAGACCGGCCAGTCTTCATTTTTGACACAAAACAATCTTTCTTTGGCAGAAGCATCCGAGAAGGATAACGGGCGATTGGTGTTTTCAGATTCTGCAAGCCTGATCGACCGCCAGGTAGCATTGAACGAGTCACGGCAGCCAGGCACACCCCTCGCACCCTGCATGCGGTCTCTTGCACCCGTCGGTCGGCAAGGTGGGCCTCAGGAAGGTCCCGGGCAAAAGGTCCCACGGAGATCTTGAACCAGATCATGGGTTTCGATGGATGCGTGTGCGGTGACGAAAAGGGTACCTCCCCACCTCCTCGCGAGTGAGTCCGCCTTGGCTTCTCTCGGCAGGCCAAACCTGTTACGCTGTCAGGCGCCGACCGAGTCGAGGCGCAGCATCCAGACTCCGCGGTGTTGAAGGAACGGCTTGCTCGCCCCCTCATTCGATGGAACCGAGTTGGGTTGTTGAAGAAAGCCCCCCCTTCCCCCGCCAGCTAACATTTACACTAAAACGGTCATGACTGAACCAATGATCCGACGCCGGGGGATGAGAAAGATAACCGGTCATTGTCAAAATCCAATCGCCCTTCGGTAAGCCTTCCAGGACCTGATAGGACTCTGTGTCACGAGCTGTCATAGGACAGTTGTGCCTGGCGGTACACCGCATTGTGGTCCTCACCCGAGACAGCGAGACAGGGCAGAATCTTCGATGTGGGAGGTCTGCATAGACAGCGGGCAGGGTTGATTGGGCTTGGGGGCAGAGCATGTGAGGTGACACCCTGGCTGCACAGAATTTTCTTTTGCCTTCGTTGTTGGCTTGCTGTCAGAAAGAGGCCGACACTTGCCTTGTGATGCGGCCGCGGCCTCCGGGCGTGTGCTTGTAAGATGGGAGTAACAAGTAGTGGATCTGTCTAACCACTTCTATTCGGGGATATTTGTGAGGAAAACACTGAGACAGTAAGAGATCTAGTCTGCCAATGCAAGCGAAAGAATGTATCATTACAAACAATAAGAGCCAAGCGATGATGCCACGTCTTCCGTAACCGTCCCTCCAAGAAACTCAACAAATAGGTATCGACAAGAAAAGAAATCGTAGCTAGGTATCTCTGTGGTCGTGACTCGTAACCCATAACGTCTCCTATAAACGTAAGAAACCAAGAAAGTGAACGAATTATTACCCGTAGCCGTAGCCCTCAAGCCCACCAACCAGTACAGAACCAAAGAAACAAACACCACCACCAATATCACGACACTCAATCATCCTCCTCCCCCTCCGCATCCTCCTCCTGCCCACTCCCCCCTCCAACAGTGTAACCATAATCTCTGGGTGTTTCCATCTGGGCGGATCCCACTTC